AGCGTGACGCCCAACGAATCCAGTGAACATCGAAGCCCAGAGAGAGTGGCCTGGCGCCCGAAGCTGGCGCGACCTACGTGCCTCAACGCAGGACCTGCGCGGACGGGACGGCGCCAGTGCTCTGGCGCGGCAGCCGCCCCCAGAGACCAAACACGCCTCGCCCCGCAACTGCGAGGAGGAGAGGAGAGGAGGGGAGGGAGGCACCAGAATCTGTCTTGGTACCACGAGTGGGGGGGGGAGAACGCCGCGCCCTGGGGCGCCACCGACTGGAGCACCGGAACTTGTCCTGGTACCCTGTTCTCCTCCTCGCCCTCCTCTCCTCCTTCCTTCCTTCCTTCCTTCCTTCCCCTCGCAGCTTCGCTCGCTGCGCCTCGCCGTGTGGCCGCGGAGAGGCGGTGGCGCGCCTCGGCTTCCGCCCGCCCTGCCCGCCCTGCTGGAGCGGCTCGTGGAATGCTCTGCCGCTTGCATCCTCGAGCGCGTCTGGCCGTGCTCGTGCAGCTCGTGTTCAGTGCCAACCGCCGCTCGGCCGTCTTAGGCATCGCGCTTCTTTCGCCCTCCCTCTCCCTCCGGTGCTCTCTCTCTCTTCCTCGTTTCCTCCCTGCCTTTCGCATGTGGCACGCTCGCCCATCTTGCAGGCCGCGGTGCAGTGCACGAGCTTGCCCATAGCAGGTCGGCTCGCGCGGTGTTCTTGGTTGCCTGGCGACGCTTCGATTTGCGCAGCGGTCGAGGCGAGTCGTGTGAAGCTCAGTGTTCGCGGTCCCTCTTCTTCTTCTTCTTCTTCCTCCTCCTCCTCCTCCTCCTCCTCCACCCTCTCCTCCCCCCCCCAATTAGAAAAGCAAAGCGATACTAATCTAGAACACTTCACATCCTTTACATTTGTACATGTAGTACATGTCTGTGTGTATTGTACATATACATATATGTATATGCAACTGTGTATGTATGCACATATGCATGCATGTGTGTATGTATGTATGTATGTATGTATGTATGTATGTATGTATGCATGCATGCATGCATGCATGCATGCATGCATGCATGTATGTATGTATGTATGTATGTATGTATGTATGTATGTATGTATGTATGTATGTATGTATATGTGTGTATGTATGTATGCATGTATGTATGTATGCATGCATGCATGCATGTATGCATGTATGTATGTATGCACGTATGTATGTATGTATGTATGTATGTATGTATGTATGTATGTATGTATGTATGTATGTATGTATACATGCATGCATGCATGCATGCACGCATGTATGTATGTATGTATGCATGTATGTATGTATGTATGTATGTATGTATGTATGTATGTATGTATATATGTATGTATGCATGTAGGTGCGTATGTATGTATGTATGTATGTATGTATGTATGTGTGTGTGTATGTATGTATGTATGTAATGTATGTATGTATGTATGTATGTATGTATGTACGTACGTACGTACGTACGTACGTACGTATGTATGTATACATATACAGCTGCTACAGATGCTCCCTCCCACAGCTCTGGCTTGGCAATGCGATCTGGGGGCCGGCGGCCGAATTGTTTGCCCAGTATGGTTCGCCGTGCTGGTTTTTGATTGGCTGTTGCTTCTTCTGGCCTGTATCATCCTCTGTGCTACCCTACAAGGTAGGGGAATTCCGTGTCTCTTCGTACAAGGCTTGTCGTACGAGTCCGCCCCCTTCCCCTCGAGTCGTCGGACGACGGTGACGGACGACGACTACAGACGGACGACGACGACGACGTCGACGAAGACGGACGACGGACGACGGACGACGGACGACGGACGACGGACGACGACTACGACGACGACGGCGATGACTCTCTCGCTGTCTGTCTGTCTGTCTGTCTGTCTGTCTGTCTGTCTGTCTGTCTGTCTGCCTGCCTGTCTGTCTGTCTGTCTGTCTGTCTGTCTGTGTGCTTGTCTGTCTGTCTGTCTGTCTGTGTGCTTGTCTGTCTGTCTGTCTGCCTGCCTGCCTGCCTGTCTGTCTGTCTGTCTGTCTGTCTGTCTGTCTGTCTGTCTGTCTGTCTGTCTGTCTGTCTGTCTGTCTGTATGTCTGTGTCTCCCCTCCGCTCCCCATCTTCTCCCCTTCCGTCTCCGCCGTCTCCTCCGTCTCCCCCGTCTCCCCTTTCCGCCCCCTTCCCCGCTCCCTCCCCCCTCCGTTTCCCCCCCCGCCCCGCCCGCCCCCCCCCCTCTTCCGCACGCCCCCCCCGCCTCTCCCCGCCCCTCCGCCCCGTTTCCGCCCCTCGCCTTTCCTCCCCCTGTGGCCCGCCACGGCGCCCGTCGGCGGATGTGTAGGAACGTCAGCGGAGTGGGACGGGCTGGGTGGGAGGGGTAGGCTGTGTCAGACATGGCGCGAGCGCGCTTGCGGTCAGGAGCTTTGGCTTCGCGTGTCGGGCCGCCGGTTCCGGCTTACCACGCTTCGGCGCGACGCGCTAGCCACGTCACCACTTCCAAGCGTCGGCGTCCCGAGCCTTGCCCGATCTCCCGCTCCGCGGCTCGGAGCGACACGCACTCGCGAGGCACTGCGTGTCGCCAAGGCAGCCGCCGCGACACGCTAAGCAAAGGTCCCGACCATACAGTGCCGTTTTTAATACATGCTCCGCGTGCGGATCATGTATCAACAATGCAGGGATTTAGAATTAAAGACAACGATGATCTCATGCATACATTTATTCGTACATTAGTTTTACTAAAACCCAATGTATGAAAACAACAAGAAAACTGCCCTGTAGCTCCCCAGATCCCCGACGTCGTGATTTTGTCACAACGTGGGCCCCACGAGGTCTGGGCCCTTTCCCCATGGCCGGCTCTTCATCCCCCGTCGTGCTCTGACGGGCCCCGGGGCCCGGTGAGAGGGCACCCCAGGGCCCGAAAATTCTCCGAAGCTCGTCCGTCGTGCTTTCCCCACGGCGCGAAAGGGGTCTGGGTTGTCCTTTCCCCCATCTCCCTTCCCCCCCCCCCTTCAGTCGGCGGCGAGCGAGGGGGGCAAATGAGAAGGAGGAGGCCTTCTGAGAACGGCGGCGGGGCTCTCCAGATGGCCTCCGGCCTCCTGAGAGCATCTTTTTTGTCCTCGGGGGGGGAGGCCCTGAAGACTCCTCAGCGGGCTGGGAGACCTCCGAGCCTTCTGAGAAGAAGGCCCGCCCCTTCTCACTTTCCCCCCCCCCTCCCCCTCCCCCCCCCTCCTCCTCCTCCTTCTCCTCCTCCTCCTCCTCCTCCTCCTCCTCCTCCTCCTCCTCCTCCTCCTCCTCCTCCTCCTCCTCCTCCTCCTCCCCCTCCCCCTCCTCCTCCTCTCCTCCTCCTCCTCCTCCTCCTCCTCCTCCTCCTCATCCTCCTCCTCCTCCTCCTCCTCCTCCTCCTCCTCCTCCTCCTCCTCTGCGTCACCATGGTGTGACCGGCGCCACGCCTATTTGACGCTTCACTTTGCCCACGCACCGGCCGGTGCAAGGCTCACTTGACTCCCCCCCTCTTCAGGCGCGGGGAGCGCCGCTGCACGGACCCCGCGTGCCTGCTGGCCCTCCTGGGCTGCCTCGCGGCCCTGGGCGCCGTCTTCCGGCAGGCGCGCGCCGAGGCCTCCCACGGCGCCGGGTCGGGGGCCTCCCCGTCCCCCGAGCGGCTCCCCGGCGGCCCTGGGGCCCCGCAGCTCAGAGGAGGCAGAGGTGCCTCCTCCTCCTCCTCCTTCTCCTCCCCTCCTCCTCCTCTCCTCCTCCTCCTCCTCCTCCTCCTCCCTCCTCCTCCTCCTCCTCCTCCTCCTCCTCCTCCTCCTCTGGTGTCGCCAGGACCCCAGGTAAGGTGACCCCCGGTCAGTGGTAGGGCGTCGGGGCCCCCAAATTGGCCAGAGCCACTCAGCCAGGTCTGCCGCAGCTCGTGTTTTCTCGGGTGACGGCAGTTCCAGTTAGTGGAACGGGGCGGGGGGGGCGTCCCTCAGTGCGCATCACTAAACCAGGTCCCACTAAACCCAGTTCTGCCAACGCCCGACCGTCACCCTTGGCCGCTGCCCCCTCTTTGGGCCTCCGGGGAGGCCCTCGTTGCCACCGTTGGATTCGCCTCGAGATTCTGGTCAGAACGCGCCCTGGGAGGGGTCCGGGGGGCAGCGGTATCGATACTTTTTTGGTTTCCCCAGAAGGCGGGGTCGACTGCGGGGGACACTCGCGCGTGAGTCGCCCGCGTAGTGTCGCGCAGAGGCGCCCCCCTCGTCTCCCGTGTGGCGTGCCGCGCTGGCGGCCCGCGTGAGCCGCAGTCGCTGTGTCATCTCGCTCGAAGCCCCACTCGCGCTGGCGGCCCGCGTGAGCCGCAGTCGCTGCGTCATCTTGCTCGCAGCCCGTTCCTTTTCGTCGTTTAGGTGCCTCTGGCCGGTGTCCTTCTAGTGTTCCTCCAGTGTGCCTCCCGTTGGGTACCGCTTAGCGTATCCCCATCCCCACTGGGCCACGGTGTGTCAGCTCACCATCCCACCGTTCCAGTTGCGGATATGCCCCTCGAAACCCGAAGGGAACATCTTATGTCCTCGTCTCTGGGGCGGCAACTCGGCCAGCGGGGCCGAGGCCAAGCCGGTGGGGATAGGGATCGGCTAACCGACGCTCGCGCTCGTAAGGCCATGTTGTTTCCGTCGCGCACCCGGGTGCCAAGAGCGGCCAAGAGCGCCGCGCCGCGATGCTCCCGCGGCGCGGGGAGGAAGGCCCGGGGAGGTCGAACCCCGGCCACGGGCCCCCGCGGCCAGGGCGACCTGGCCAAGCTGACGCGCGGCTTCGACTGGAAGGGCGACATCTGCGGCGTCGACGCGCCGGTCAGGCCCCTGTGGGGTTCGCACAGCAACACAGGAGGAGGAGGAGGAGGAGGAGGAGGAGGAGGAGGAGGAGGAGGAGGAGGAGGGAGGAGGAGGAGGAGGAGGAGGAGGAGGAGGAGGAGGAGGAGCAACACTGTTGGCCAGCAGCGGGGGCGAGCGCCGCGCGGTCGGTCCGCCGGCCGGCCGCGCGCCAGGCAGAGGCGCGCCGGACGAGCGGAGCAGAAGCGGGCGGCCGCGGAAGGGGGACGCGGGAGGAGGCCTCGGGCGTAGATCGGGGGCGGAAAAGTGGGGGGTGATGACTAGGGGGGGGGTGGATACCATGGCGTGGGCCATGATATTTCCCCAGATTTCATGGCGCCCCTTCTTATTTCATCACGTCCCTGGCCCCCCCGCTGGGCCGCGCACATGCCGCCGGTCATGATTTGCACCCCCCCCTCTTGGACATCCCCCTCTTGGCCGCTCCCGAGTAGAGAACCCCGGAGGTCCAGCGTATTGACAAAATCAAGACGGAGGTTTCTCGCAAATTTCGGCTCCCAGGGGGCCCTCGCCAGGCCTCGGGACCGTCAAGAAGCGACTCAGGAGGAAGAACCGGTCCTGAGGAATGGGTCAAGACTTCCGGGGACCGCGCAGTGAAAGAATCACGACATCGGATCTCTGGGACCTTCGCCACGAAGAGTGTGCAGGCGGCCTCAGGCGGCAGAGACCAGTGTACCGAAAGTTTGTGCGGTGAGTCCCGAGAGAAAAGCAGGCATGCGTAAACATTCATTGCCGGAGACCTGCGCGGATTTCTTTGGATCGGCGCTGGGCTCACTTGTCGGAGCCTCCAGCGCCGCCGCCAGCGCACTCCGCGCGCCATGGAGGGGGGGTCCAGCGCCGGTCCAAGAAATCCGCGCGGAGCTCCGAACGATTATGTCTATGCCTGTGTGTTCTTCCTCTGGGGACAGCGCGATCGACGCCGTCGCCTTGGGGTGTGGTTCCTGTGAGTTTTTTTTTTTTGAGCCTCTGGAGGGGCTCGTCGCGCTTCCAGAGGGCGCCTGGCGTTTTTATGCTTGAGCGCCTCGGGATGGAGCCTGGAGGCTTTACTTCTAGGCGCCCCTGGAGGGCCTCTCTTATTTTTGAGGCTCTCCGAACGCCTCTGCAGGGTCCATCTCGATCTGACCGATCCGATTCGATATCGGCTCCGGTCAGCCCGATTCGATTCGATGCGCACGGGGCCAGGACGAGGATGAATCCGTTCTAGAGCGTTCCGGAACACGTTCCAGAACTCTCAGAGAAGGCCGCGGCGCCCGAGGAATCCCCCAGATCGGCGGGATCTCAGAGATTCTCGATTTGTCCGTACCCGATTCTATACCCTCGTCCTAGCTTCGTCTTATCGGTACGCATGTTCGGGCGACCCGATGTGGCCCGACTCTTGCACGGCGCTGTTGTGCATCCTGGCGCAGCCGATCCGCGTCGCTTCTGACTTCGTGCCCGCTGCGGCGCTCGACTCGATGCTTTCCGCAGCTGCCATCTGATGCACCACCACCGTGCCCGGCCAGGGCCACCCTGGGCTCCACGATGGTGGACTTGTAGACCCGTCTGGCCTCGGCCAGGAGGCGTACACACCATGCCAGGGCCCAGGATGGCCCTGGCCGGGAGGGGTGGGGGTGTATCCGAGCATTTTCTGTGGGTGGAGGGCAAGGGGTGAAAGCTGAAATGCCGTTTCGATGCATTCTCGAGGGAATCCGCAGAAGGTGAATCACAAGACGGATTGCTTTTCGAAGGGGCAGCGGCCCATATGGATTCCACCCTGAGCCCTCCACCCCCAAGAAGATGCTCGTGTATGGACGCCTGCTGCGCCGGCGCGTGCCGCTCCGACCCGATTGTTGCCCGCGTCCGCGCGGACTGAGCTCCTGGCCACAGGGAGGCTCCTCGCCGCCGCCGCCGCCCCGTGCCGCGCCTCGGGCCTCTTCGTCGGGGCGGAGGGAGGAGGAGGAAAAGGAGGAGGAGGAGGAGGAGGAGGAGGAGGAGGAGGAGGAGGAGGAGGAGGAGGGAGGAGGAGGAGGGGAGGAGGAGGAGGAGGAGAGGAGGAGGAGGAGGAGGAGGGGAGAGGAGAGGAGGAGGAGGAGGAGGAGGCAGGAGGAGGCAGGAGGAGGCAGGAGGAGGAGGAGGAGGAGGAGGAGGAGGAGGAGGAGGAGGAGGAGGAGGAGGAGGAGGAGGAGGAGATATTCTCACAGCTCGGGGGCCCCCAGGCGGCGTGGTGGCCACGCCTCGTGGGCAAAGCAAAGCATGGGCAGCCAAGCGTGGGAGCCTGGTGCGCCCTCTCAACTCCGCCTCTGGCGTCGACTGGCGTCGATTCAGCGTCCAGAGTCGAGGAGCTGGCGCGCCGGCTCGGCGCCGGGCAGCGCCGATTCGGCGTCGATGCTCCGCGTCGAGTCAGCGTCGATTCGGCGTCGATTCGCAAGAGCCGACAAGGTGGCGCGCGAGGCTCCCCGGAGTTGCCGCCGAAGGATGCGGGGCCACCGCACGGGTACTGGTGGGATTCGGGCCGTGCTCCGAGGCAGCGCCTCGGGCGGCATGGGGGCCCCCGTGGGTCCCAACGTCCCGTGCGGGGGCGCTCCCCGCGGCGAGGTCGCCGGTGGCTCAGAGGCCACCGCGCGGTGCGTCATCGCACGGGCCTGCGGGGGTCCCCGAAGGATCTCCGACGATGTGATTAGCTTCGATCCCGGCGTCCTTCCTCTGCCCCTGGAGTCCGTCCTTGGGCCCAGGGCCACCCCAAATGGCTGCGGGGCGAAGCACAGGGGGTCGTTGGACGGGGCCAGGACGAGGATAGATCCGTTCGAGAGCGTTCCGAAACGCTCTCAGAGCGTTCCGGAACTCTCTGAGAAGGCGGCGCCCGAGACATCTTCCAGAGTTGCGGGATCTCAGAGATTCTCGATTTGTCCGTACCCGATTTTGACCTCGCCCTGGCTTCGTCTTGGGGCGGGACCTCTGGGGCCGCGGATTGAAAGATCTCTCGGGCGGATGTTGGGCCTGTTTTCCACCACCAGCACCAGAAGTTGGAGGGGGGAAGGAGGAGGAGGGGGAGGAGGAGGAGGAGGAGGAGGAGGAGGAGGAGGAGGAGGAGGAGGAGGAGGAGGAGGAGGAGGAGGATTGACCGGGCTCTCTGGCCGAGCGACGGGGCGATCGGGGTGACCCTTTCCGTGAGGGCCCCAGCGCTCCTCGGGGGGCGCTGCGCGCACACAGTTCTTTTGAAGGAGCGGCCCCCCTGGCCTTAAGTCGGGCCTGTCCCTCTACAGGAGGAATATTCAAAAATAGTCAAAAATAGTCAGGGGATTATTTTTCGAGTATTTTTGGGAATCTTTTGGGTTTTGCATTTTTTAGTTTTCGTCGAAAACCCCCCTGTAGGGGGACGCCCGACTTAACTGTGGCCTTCTGGGGTGATGGGGCCGGGCTCCGGCCACGTTTTTCCACAACGTTGGAACAAGTGTTCGCGACGTCGAATCTCAGGGCTTCTGGGAAGCCCCTGGCCTTATGCAGTTCCAGCCTACTTTAGCCTTGGCCACTAGAGAGAGCTTCGAGTACCAATAAGGTACCGAAACAGGAGGGTTCTCACGCGTCGGGCCCTGGGGGAGCCTGGGAGGCGATATTCGTTCGACTCTTCGCCAGCATGTGTCGGCCACAGCCTGTTTCGATCCTTTCCTGGTTGCTCGCAATGATTTCTGGGATGTGGTGCGTTAAGTGCGAGGGGAGCAACATAACCCTGGCCTTCAGTCGGGCATGACCCTCTACAGGAGGAGTGTTCAAAAATAGTCTAGTCTGGAGACGTTTTTTTTTTTTTTTTTTTTTTTTTTTTTTTTTTTTTTTTTTTTTTTTTTTTTTTTTTTTTTTTTTTTTTTTTTTTTTTTTTTTTGTTTTTTTTTTTGTTTAATCATGTTTGACCATTTTGGAATATCTTTTAACTATTTTAAGTTATCGTCCAGAATCCCCCTGTAGGGGGACATGCCCCATCTAACCCTGACCTTTGTGGGAGCGATCCTTCCGGGAGGAGCGGTCTGCAGAAGAGGCCGCCGCCCCTCTCGCCACGGGTTGTTTTGGGGCAGCCGGGATCTAGGCCTCCCAGGTGGGGTCGGAGCAGATGGGGTCAGAGGACCGCGGCGCATCGCCGATGCATCGGCGAGGCATCGGCGAGGCGTGTCGATGTGGGGCCCAATTTTCTCCACGCCGACGCCGCGGAGGTATCGACGACGTCGCCAGTGCATGGCCGATGCATCGCCGATGCGTCGGCGACGCGGCGAGACCTTCCGACCCCATCTGCTAGGACCCCTGTCCAGGAGGCCTCTGAGGAAGATGCCGACACCGCTGCTGCCCAGGCCTCTTCCGTGTCGCGCCCTCTGACCAGGATGCCGAGGCGAGTCCAGCCCTGGCGACGAGGGCCTCCCCGGAGGCCCAGGAGGCGAGGGCGAGGCAGGGGCGTCGTGGTCGGTCTGCCTGCCCCCGTCGGTGCTCTCTTTGCTGTGGCGCGCCGCCGACAGGTTCCAGCCCTTCCTCTACTGGTGCTCCCAGCGGGGCGACGAGGACCCTCCCAGGGGGGGGCAGTCGGCCTCGGGGGCGATCGATCAAGAGCGGCCGTCGCTCGGCCCCCCCGCCTTCCTCGCAGATGCGGCGCCTCTTCGCATCGAGGGATAAGAGAACCCCCAACCCCAATACCACAATGAAGGCGTAGCCTCACCGAGGTTCCCGTCTTTGCACCAGGGATGATCAATCTGGGCGGCTCGGTTCGACACATCTGCAGAAAAGACCCCCTGCATCCCTACCGTTTTTGGCCCTCCTACTTTAGGTCCCCTCCCAAGGGGTTCGGGTTAAGTCGGGCCTGTCCCTCTACAGGGGGAATATTCAAGAATAGTGAAAAAATAGTCGGGGGACTATTTATGGATCATTTTTTTGCATTTTTTGTGTGGGTATTTTTGAGTATTCTTAATTTTCGTCCAAAATTCCCCTGTAGGGGGACAGGCCCGACCTAAGGTTAGGGGTCCTTTTATTGCTAATCGTCTTCGTCCTTCTCGAGGGGACGCCGCCCCTGGCAGGAGGCCGCGTGGCGCTCCGGGGAGCCACCACCGCGGCTACGACTGTGCAGGGGGTGCCCGGCCCACCAGACCACCGAGTTCGTGTGTGTTTTTTTCCTCGGGGGCGGCAAGGAGGGGGGTGATGACCAGGGGTGGGTGGATATCATGGCGGGGGCCATGATGTTTCCTCAGATTTCATGGCGCCTCCTCTTATTCCATTACGTCCCTGGCCCCCCCGCTGGGCCGCGCACATGCCGCCGGTCCTGATTTGCACCCTCCCTTCTTGGACACCCCCCTCTTGGCCGCTCCCCATTTTCTCGACGTGGACCCGTGGATCATGAAGAACAAAGTATCGGGTTGGGAGGATTGGGTTGAGAGAAATGGGGAGATCACTACCCGTAGGCGGCCGAAGGTATCGTTCCTTGCATCCGGGTGCTATTGCTCATGCCCTTCATCCTCCCAACCCTTTCCTCTCAACACGAAAATTGTTCTCCTCACTGGAGGTCTCGACCCATTCCCGGGGTCCGGCTTTTCATCCTGAGTTGTTGTTTGACGGCCCGGTGCCCGGTAAGTGCCCTTGGGGGCCGACGATGGAGAAGCACTTTCCGTAGTGTTTTTTTTCTCACGACGCGAGGGGGTCCAGGTCCATCTTGCCCTCTCCTGGGGGCCTGCGTAATGGCCAGGGCAGCTGACCTGACCTCCAACCACGCTTACCTCTACCTTTACCTGAAGATGATAGGTGCCACGTGTCTAGCGATTGTGAGAGACACAACTAAGGTGGACCTCTTCGACGGCGGATGGCTATCGCAATGAGTCCTGCTGTATCGCGCAGTGGTCGAGCTACGCAGTGACGTTCGTATGGGGATTGGCCAGGGAGATTCTGCAACTGCCCGATCTCAAACACAGACCGAGGCAGAGAGTGCAGCGAAGGTAAGATATTGAATCCATGGGAATGATGGGGATAATTCGATCTCTGGAATTTTCTTCCAATGTTGCCCTAAACCGTTCGATTATTCGTTGCAAGCTTCCTCATCTGTCGGTCTCAACGCTCTCGTGGTTTGTCTGGGTAGGGACCCGGTAGCAATCAGCCCATTGGCCTCTGACCTAGTCTGAAAACTTGCAGCAACACATCGTCCCCACGGAAGGTGTGGTGTCGGGAGTGTCCCCTTCAGTGTATTGCGTGGAGATCATTTTTTTCTGGTTAAGCGGTACTTACTTCCACATGAGGTTGTGACATGCACTCCTTTGCGATATCCGAACTCTAGTGACCATGTGTTACCAGTGCACCTCGTCTCGTTTGCCTGCTCTGGAACGATCTGGTCTGCGTGCTCACGAGCGCGTAATGTCGCGCTTCGGCAGTGCCTGTACCATATCCGTCATCCTCTCGACAGTCCTGGCGGCACACGGGTTGTAGCAAATTGTGCGCATCAGCCACTCGTTCTCATTTTCATGTTCGCGGGGCAGCACCGCCGTCGTGCAACTCTTCACATCAGAAGAAAGGAGTATCGCCCGCCACTCATGTACTGTCGTGCTGGTCCGCTAGATGACATGTGTGCGGGGGTGATAGCTCGGGCCGCGAGGAGGAGGAGGAGGAAGAGGAGGAAGAGGAGGAGGAGGAGAAGGATGAGGAGGAGGAGGAGAAGGAGGAGGAGGAGGAGGAGGAGGAGGAGGAGGAGGAAGGAGGAGCAGCAGCAGGAGGACAAGCACGATGGCTCCTCCAGGACATCGCCCTGGTGGACGGCGTCTGCGTGGAGCGCTGCCCGCAGGGCGACGGGAACTCCACGTGGTGCCCTGGTCCTCGGACCCCCTCTGGGAGGCGGCCTCTCTTGGGGGCGGCCAGGGGGGAGGGGGAATTCGCAATCACAAGTTAGGCCGGTGCTTAAGCTGTGCTGAGCTACGGACAGACAGGCCGGCGCACAGCGTTGGGGTGCGAAGTTGCGAGGGCGACGGCATAGAAACGGCAGAAAGAACTCATCAGACCCATTCGCGTCTACATCATTTTCGTATCGTATTGTGAAGCTGTTGTTCATCACAAGGGGGGCAGTGTTGACCAGGGGGGGGGGCATGCATGTTCGCGTCACGAACAAAACCACGACGAGAGTGTTTTTGGCCGTTTTCGGCCCTTGGGGGCCCTCACTGGGGCCCTGGGGCTGTCAACAAAAACAGCCCGTGATGAAAAGCCGGACCTGGGGAAAGGGTCGGGACTTCCGGGGTAGGCTGCGAGTCCGGAAAACAAAGCAGCACCTTTCCGGGCCTCCCAGATGGGGTCGGAGCAGGTGGGGTCGGAGGGTCGCTCCGCATCGCCGATGCATCGCCGATGCGGCTCGATGCAGAGCTTGATGCTCTCAATGCCGACGTCGCCGATGCATCGCCGACGTCACTGGTGCATCGCCAATGTATCGCCGATGCATCGGCGATGCATCGGCGATGCATCGGCGATGCATTGGCGATCCGGCGCGATCCTCTGGCCCCATCCCCATCTGCTCGGACCCCATCTGGGAGGCCTCTACTCTTGGCCTTTCCCCGTCCCCCTCTTCTCCCGTCCGCTTCTCCACAGCTCCCCTCCCGCGCCATCGCACTCCCTCCCCGCGCGTTGTGCGCAGGTCCTGTGGCCCCCTTCGAGTACCGCACCCCGACCAGCGACGGGAAGGAGCAGGCCAGCGGAGGAAGGACGAGCAGGAGGACGAGGGGGCATGGGAGGCGAGGGGGAGGAGGGCGGAGGGTCATGATGTTGATGATGTTGGTTGTGATGATGATGCTGCTGGTGATGATTATGCTGCTGCTGCTGCTGCTGATGATGATGATGATGATGATGATGAGGATGATGATGATGATGATGATGATGATGATAATGATGGTGATGATGATGATGATGATGATGATGATGATGATGATGATGATGATGATGCGGAAGCAGATGAGGATGAGGATGATTGTGATGCTGCTGCTGATGATGACGGTGCGGATGCTGAGTGGGGTAATGATGGTGTTGAGGAGGACGACGAGCGCATAATGATGAGGATGATGGTTGCGATGATGATGGTGATGGGGATGCTGATGATGGTAGTGATGATTCTCGGGATGATGATGATGACGATGATGATGATGATGATGATGATGATGATGATGCTGATGATGATGATGATGATGATGATGATACTGTTGATGACGATGACGATGATGCTGATGACGATGGCAATGATGATGATGTTGATGACGATGATGATGATGCTGATGCTGATGTTGCTGGTGATGACAATTACGACAGTGACGATGAATATGTGGAGGTTGCCGATGCTGATTGTTCTGGATTGTGGTAATGATGGTGGTGGTCGTGGTGGTGATGACGATGCTGAAGATGCCGATGTCGAGTGCGACGAACGCGATGACGATGGTGACGACGATCAAGATGATGATTTTGCTGATGATGATGCTGGTGATGATACTGATGATGATTATGATGATGCTGATGATGCTGATGTGGATGATGATGAAAACGATGATCCTTATGATGCTGATTATGATGATGGCGATAGTGATCTCGGTGATGACGATGGTGAGGATGATCATGATGCTGATTATGCTGATGATCATGATGATGCCGATGCGGATGATGCTGATGATGATGTTGGTGATGATGGTGATGATATTGATGATGATGATGATGAGGATGACGATGACGTTGACGATGATGATGACGACGATGACGATGATTCTGATGACGATGACGATGACGATGACGATGATGATGATGATGATGATGACGATGGTGACGATGATGATGATGATGATGATGATGGTGATGATGATGATGATGATGATGATGATGACGCTGACGATGACGATGATAATGAAGATGCTGAGGATGATGATGATGATGATGATGATGATGATGATGATGATGATGTTGATTATGATGATGACGTTGATTATGAAGATGATGCTGCTGCTGCTGATTATGATGATGATGATGCTACTGATTATGATGATGATGCTGATTATTTTGATTATGATGACGATGATGATAGTGATGAATTTGACTACAATGATGATGCTAATAATGATGCTGCTGATATTGCTTATGCTGACGCTGCTGATGATGACGATGATAATGATGATGCTGATGATGATGATGATGCTGATGCTGATGATGATGATGATGATGATGATGATGGCGGTGATGATGGTGGTGATGATGTTGATGATGATGGTGATGATGATGGTGATGATGGTGATGACGATGATGATAACAAGGATGATGATGCTGATTATGATGATGATGATGATGACGATGAGGATGCTGATGATGGTTATGCTGATGATGGTGCTGATGATGGTGATGATGATGATGATGCTGATGATGATGATGATCATGATGATGATGATGCTGATGATGATGATGATGATGATGTCGATGATGATGATGATGATGATGATGATGATGATGATGATGCTGATGATGATGATGATGATGGCGACGATGATGATGATGATGATGATGAGGATGATGCTGCTGCTGATGATAATGATGATGCTGATGATGATGATGATGATGATGATGATGATGATGATGATGATGATGATGGATGATGATGATGATGATGATGATGATGATGATGATGATGATGATGATGATGATGATGATGATGATGATGCTGATGCTGATGCTGATGCTGATGCTGATGATGCTGCTGCTGCTGCTGCTGATGATGATGATGATGATGATGATGATGATGATGATGATGTGATGATGATGATGATGAGGTGGAAGGGGAGGAAGAGGGTGGAGGGGATGAAGGAGGAGGAGGAGGAGGAGGAGGGAGGATGAGGAGGAGGAGGAGGAGGAGGAGGAGGAGGAGGAGGAGGAGAAGAAGGAGGAGGAGGAGGAGGAGGAATGAGGAGGAGGAGGAGGAGGAGGAGGAGGAGGAGGAGGAGGAGGTCACTCGATCTCGTCTCGTCTCTGCTGATTGTCCTGGCCAGAGTGGTGGCCACTGCTGACTGTGCCTTTCTGGAGCTGTCCTGGTCAGAGTGGCCACTGCTGATTGTCCTGGTCAGAGTGGCCTCTGCTGATTGTCCTGGTCAGAGTGGCCACTGTGAGGTCCTCGTCTCGGTTCTGCTGATTGTGCCTTTCTGGAGCTCTCGGCCACTGGGGCTGCCTTCCCGGTGCCCGCGGGCGGCTGTTGCTGGACTCGCCTTGGGGTCGTGCGGTTGCCTTGAACGGGTGGGCGCGGCCATCTGGCACTTCCGTCCGTGCGGACGATGAGGCGTCGGCCACCTGCCCGTTGCCTGCCGCTACGGGCCCTGGCGCCCGGCAGCCTGGCGAAGAAAAGGTCACTCGATCCTCCGAGGATCGCGAGCATCCAGCGCGCTCTCATCGCTTTTCGGTTCCCCTTGCGCCATTTGCTCCTTCTCTGCCCTCCGGCTTCTGTGCCCGCCTTTCTCTTTCCCTCCATCCTCGACTACTTACTTTTTTTGAGGGGGTGGGGCAGGATTCGTCCAACACATCTGCTCTTTGACTCTTCTTCTCTTAAACGCTGCCAGAAATAACTACATGTGCCTGCCATGCTGCGTCTTGCAGTTTTGCAGGTGTCTGCTTGGGGCGGCAATGACGGCAGTTCTTTTGTGTTCTGCGCATGGTTTCCCGCGAATGGAGCGATCTGGATCGCTCTCGTGAAGGGCAGCGGGTTTCTCTCTTCCTTGTTGTGTTCATCAATCGGGATGATGATGAGAAGGAGGATGAACTGGATGGGTTGGAGGAGGACGAGAGAGGCCTGGCCGGTGGGGCGGCCTGGGAGCGGGCGTCTGAAGAAGGGCTCGTGCTTAAGTACAGGAATTAGGACGTATTGTTTGTTGACGGACTTCTGTTTTCAGTTGAATTTGAAAACATCTACATGTTTGTGTTTCGCGCGCCAATGGCTTTGGCATGGTTTCGAAGGGCGCGCGTGGCGGCGCGCGTATGTGGCCCAGATGTGGTTATCTATGCTCTGGGCGCATGCTGGATCAACGCGCGTACACCGCGTGGTGAGATCAGAAAGCGGTGGGCGAACTTATACTGAATTCTGTTTCATCTGTTTCAGCAAGTGCGTGCGCGAGTGTTTGTGAACCGCCAAATATTCGAGTGCTTTCGTAATTCATGTATTTGGTATGATGTTGACATTTGCGCGTGTGGAATTCGTTGCATTTTTGGTACGGGACTCTGGAACCATAGTTTTTTGAGACAAGCGATTGTGCGCGCATTGTTGTCTCTGACAGAGATGACGGGGGGGAACGGTACTGGCCCTCTCGGGGTCGTATGAACTCAGATGGAACGCGACAATTTCAATGCCGCAGGGGGGGAGAAGTCCAGGCTCGGGAGTGTAGTACAGTCGACCCGCATCATAAGGACGGGCGACGTTCCCAAGGCACCCTTGCATCCTTGCCGTCGCCCGAAACACGCAAACGTGGCCCCTCAAGGCCCCCTGCCTCCTTACCGTGCATCCTTGTGGTACGGGTCGACTGTGCAGTCGGCGTCGGCGAAGCCTCAGCAAACCCATGCAGCGCACAGAACGCCCATAGGTAGGGAAACCGAACAATGACAGAAGCATAAAAACTCGGAGGTCCGCGTGGATTTCTCGGATCGGCGCTGGACCCCCCACCCTGGCGCGCGGAGCGCGCCGGGGGCGCCGCCGGAGGCGCCGCCAGGGGGCCCCAGCGCGGAACCGAGAAACCCGCGCGGACCTCCGAGTTATTGTGCTTGCGTCATTGTCTTGGCATCGCTCGGACGTGTGCACTCTTTCCTCGGCGAGAGCCATATCGAGGACCATCCTGGACCATCGAGCAAAACAAAAAAGCACACGCGCGACATCGAAAGATGCACGGGAAGTGGACGTCCGAGCGACGGCAAGCTCTTCGCTCCCCTACAGAAGGCATCCACGAGACGCCCGCGGGCGGCACCGCGGCGAGGCGTCGGCACGCTCGGGCAGCGCCCGCGGGCGGCAGCGCGGCGCAGCCTCGGCGCGCGCGCACAGCCGGCACACGCACGTGGGGCGCCCACGAGGCGGCCCTCGGGCGGCCACGGCGGCGAGGCCTCGGCGCGCCCGCGAGGCGCCCACGGGGCGGCCGCTTCTGCGAAGCCCCGGCGCGGCCGAGGTCCTCCGCGTCACCGAGGCCGAACGCGAGGCGGGCAAGCTCGATGGGCCCTGGGAAGCATGGCTCGACGACACCGGCGCCGCGGCGGGAACAGGAAAACCACCGCGAACAATGCGCGATGGTTTCCCCCTCCCGGCCGCGGCCGCAGCCGCAGCCCCGACCGCGGCCGCGGCCGCGGCCACAAAATCTTGCGGGCAGGGGGCATCGGGGGCGTCCAAGAGGGGGGTGATGACTAGTCAGCGAGCGAAGAACGGTATAAAATAAGCTTTCCGCCGTCGGGGACACCTGCCCCTGGGCGGCTGGAAAGTTTATACCCTTACGGTGCCACCGTAAGGGTATAAACTTTCCAGCAGCCCTGGGACAGGCGCCCCCGACAGCGAAAAAGTTTATTTTACAGCGTTCTTCGCCCGTTAAACTAGGGGGGGGGTGGATACTATGGCGGGGGCCATGATGCCTCCCCAGATTTCTCGGCGCCTCTTCTTCATTCGATCTGTTCCCGGGCCCCCCCCCCGCTGGGCCGCGCACACG